GAGTGGGTGATGAGAGCAAGTGGGAGCTCGCTATGAAAGATGAGATGAAGTCCTTGAACACTAACAAGACTTGGGAGCTTGCAAAGTTGCCAGTAGGAAAGAAAACATTGAGTAACAAATGGGTGTACAGAATCAAGGAGGAGCATGATGGTTCTAAGAGATACAAGGCAAGATTGGTAGTTAAAGGGTTTCAGCAGAAAGAAGGAGTTGACTACACGAAAATCTTCTCTCTTGTAATCAAATTGACTACTATCAGATCGGTTCTGAGCATTGTTATAGCTGAGGATCTACATCTCGAACAGTTAGATGTGAAGATAACTTTCCTCCACGGTGACTTATAGGAAGAGATATATATGCAGCAGGCAGAGGGGTTCACTCAGAAAGGCAAAGAGAAGATGGTGTGCAGATTGAAAAAGAGCTTGTATTGTCTGAAACAAACTCCAATGCAATGGTACAAGAAGTTTGATGGGTTGATGCAGAGGAATGGATACTCCAGGTGCAATGTTGATCATTGTTGTTTCTTCAAGAGGCTTAACACTAGCTATGCTATCTTGCTGCTATATGTCGACAACATGCTAGTAGCCGGTTCAGATATGGGTGAGATCAAAAAGTTGAAGAAGCAGCTGTCAAGTGAGTTTGACATGAAGGACTTAGGTGTAGCAAAGCAGATTTTGGGGATGAATATTAGCAGAGACAGGTTTTTAGGCACACTACGGTTATCTCAGGCCAAGTACATTAGACGGGTGCTTGAGAGGTTTGGGATGAGTGATGCTTAGGATGTTAGCACACATTAATTTGGCTATTCATTTCAGGATGACTAGGGAGTAGTGTCCAGTGACTGATGAGGAGAAAGACTACATGGTGAAGATTCCATATGCTTCAGCCATTGGAAGTCTTATGCACGCCATGATGTGTACAAGGCCTAACATTGCCCATGCAGTAGGAGCTGTGAGTAGATTCATGTCAGATCCAGAAGAACAACACTGGGAAACAGTGAAGTGGATTCTAAGATACCTGCGGGGTACTATAGAGAATTGTTTATGCTTCGAGAGAGGCAAGTTGGGTCTGTAGGGATTTGTTGATGTAGACTTTACTGGTGAGACAGATCAGAGGAGGAGAACTAGGGGGTATGTGTTCATATTGGGTACTATTGCCAGGTATGTGTTCATATTGGGTACTACTGCCATCAGTTGGGTCTCTCAGTCGCAGAAGATCATTGCTTTATCGACTACAGAGGCAGAATATGTTGATGTGACAGAGGCAAACAAGGAGATGATATGGTTGCAGGGTTTCTTGGAGGAGTTGGGATAGAAAAATGAGAAGAGTGTCTTGCACTGTGATAGCCATAGCGCTATTCATTTGGCAAAGAACCCAGCTTTTCATGCCAGGACTAAACACATACAGGTTCGTTATCACTTCATAAGGTCAGCCTTGGATGATGACATGTTGGAGCTTATGAAGATCAAAGGAAGCAAGAACCCGGTTGACATGCTTACGAAGACTGTCACTATAGAGAAACTAAAGTTGTGTTCAACTTTAGTTGGCCTCATTACTTGATAATATGGGAGGCCATTGCCGCAGGGAAAGATAATAAAGACTGAAGATGTTGAAGCTTTTCAGGAGCATACTATGGGAAAGTTAGTCTCCAAGTGGGAGATTGTTAGGTTATATGGAGCCTAATTTTCAGACCCGGCCTAATTCGCTTAAGTGATCGAATCGTCAGAACCCTAACTGCACGGATCGAACTTCGCGGTAAGTTCGACGGGAGGTTGCAACTTGTAAACATTATTCAATACATAGTGGAATTTTTGCCAAGGGTATACATATAATTTTAAGTCGCACTAATATCCTAGTTATAAAATGGTGATTAGGGCGCAGTTTGTAAACATTATTCAGAACATAGTGAAATTTTACCTGCGGCGGCCGTGGACGTAGGTTCTCTCATCAAAAAGTGAACCACGTAAATCCTGTATGTTCTGTGATTTATTTTTCTTCTCTTCCCTCTCTCATCTTTATTTCCAAATCGCAACAGGGGTTAGAAAAACCCTAACACTTATTAGACAGCTTTGAAATTGTCTAACAATGTCTTTTGCCATATTTAATTCGAAATGCTTAGCACCATCTTCATTTTGGTAAAAGGAATTCCGTCTAGGTTGCCTAGGGCAACCTCACTTCAGCCGCCACCTCCCCCCCTCTCTTTTCTCAATCTATCTTCCCCTCCCCCCTCTATCTCTCTCTTACTCTCCCCCCTCCCCCC